AATAATAATAATTCAATTCAATTCCCTTATTGAACGATTATTCAAAAGAAAATGGGCTAATTAATATGCCAAAGTAATATAATAATTCAATTCATTAATACTAAAAGAATAAACATTAAAAACTAGACAAAACTTTTGAGATTAAATACCATAAAATACGGTCAAAATGAAGAATTTTGAATAATAATTAAATTCAATTCCTTTATTAAAGTGAGGCCAGTAACAGCCAAGCACTAACAACAATACAAAAGCAAACAATCAATGAACTGAAAACATAATATTGTATGATTATTGCAAAAGACTAAATGTTATAGATGATTAAAATAATAATTAAACTAAAAACTGTTTGTAAGACCTGCATGGAGTCCAAAGTTGGACACATTCACTCTTTTTTGTAATTCGCCTGCTCAATGGATTTCCTTCAAACAAACTCAGATATTGCCAAGGCCTACTTGAAAATGACTCGACGTTGCGGTTGCAGTGACGTCGATAGCGGTGTCCTGCATCCACTCAGTTTGGACGTCGAACATCGACTTCCTGTCCTCTAACTAACGTTGGGTATTCGCTAGCTTTCTAAAGGGAAAACGCCGCGACCTCTAAGAGCCCATGAGTCAAAATGACACGTGCAGGATTAGGCAGGCGAGCCAGGAACTGAACTCTGTTCCACGTGGGAACAAAGCACGTGCATCTGATACAGGCATAGTCTGTACAAAAATAGGTCGAAACACTAGAAATTATGAGTGAAATGCGTTGCCATGGAATTTCATCAGGCCTTTCCTGTTAGACAAAAATCACGTTAGAAAGTAACCATGAGAGTTGGCAAGTTGTATTATCGTCTTTCTTCTGTTATTAATTCAGTTGCAAACATTCTGTCCTTCCCGATAGTCTCTAGTATAATATTTTTGCGTAAGTTTTGTATTTTGCATTGGACGCGGAAATTTTCAAAAATTTCTACCATGAATATCACGTTCTAATGTACTGACTTCCTGGTCCCTTGATTTCTGCTCGCATTTCGTACTAATATTTCCACAGCCGCCCTTTTGTCTCGGTTCTTTAAGCATTTCAAGCTCTAATCATTTCCTTTATTTAATAGCAGCTTATAACTCACCGTTCTAAACTTTAATCGTTTAGACACTAAACTTTAGAGTATTTTAGTAATTTTCCTTAAACTTCCCCTGAGATCCTGAAAATCCTTCGAGATCTGTTTAGTGTTCAATCTTGCTGCTGTTTGGCACAAATATTATTTTTGATTTAATCTTCTCTGATACAAACTTCTTGTGAATTTTTTTGAAGCAAGTGAACTTTCTAGATTTCTTCTTTTCTAATACTTGTTCTAATACTATTATTCAAAAACACAAATTTCGTATTCAATATTCGTCGAGGTCTTGGTCTTCTTGCCCGTCGCCTTTAGGTGTCAGAGGAGCGTCGGACTTGGCCTCAATCCCCTGTCCGTCCTCCTCCACCAACTGATGCTTGCGTTTGTGGATGTAGTCGCCTACATTCGGAAGTCGCTCGACCACGCAGGCCGACACACCATCTCTAAGTGGAGTCGTCATGTCTGCAAGCTTTTCCCTGCAGTTGTGAAAATAATCAAGGTTATGCATTATCTAAAGCTCAAAACCAATTTCATCGCACATAAAGACGGAACCACAGAAGATACCAAGCCCTTCGAGACAAGACAAAACTTATCAAGGCCTTTATACTCGCCCTTAAGTATTCTTCTTTTAAATTTACGTCCCCTACGACTAAGGCCAGTGCTATTATGCACAGATATTCAACAATCTTCTTCCAAAATGCGTTTTTGAGGTTCTAAGATGTCTGCGGTGTCGAATAATTGGGACTCGACGGGGTTGCTCTGGATTGCGTCAGAAGAGACGAACAAACCCTCTAGTTTTGTCCCAGTCAACCTCCAACTGAAATTCCCCCGTACGACGGTTTTTGCAAACCCTCCAATTTCTTCGAGAGATCGAACGAGCCCACGTGATCGTTAGTTCACTCATAGAAACATAGGAGCCGGGCGAACAGTTGACGAGAAGGAACGCGTGTCATTACATCGCGACCGGAAGGCGGGTTAAGACTGCGAGATGCCGTGTCCTGCCGGGGCCAGACGAGGCTCTGCGCGGCGCAAATGAACCCCGATCAAATACAAAGAACTCGGGACGGATACAAAATGTCGCTAAATCTCAGGCTTGCAAGTGGCCGGATATCGAGATTATTATGGCGGCCCCGAAAGGGTGTCCCTGTTCAAAGAAGCTTCGACTGTGGTCCGCTTTGCCTTACTCAGCCATCTGCCCGCTGTCGCTGCAACTCACAACCCCCGCCCACGTTTCGCGGGGCTTAATACTTGCAGCCGGGATGATGGAAGCCTCAAGCGCCTCTGAAACGTCGGAAAATTTCTAAGAGACCACAAGGCCAAAATACTCCGTAGGACTCGTCCCCTTGATCTAAACTCATTCTTGTTTCACAAGTTGTAGTTTGTGAAAAGATCCTAAACAAACAAACAAACCATTCATGTCTCCCGCCGTCGAAACGCTCAACTTGGCGAATGGGCGTTTTGTCGTGAATACCACCGAAGGCGTAGATGGCGTCGCCAATCACTTGAAGCACGAAGTTGCCACGTGGGTGCGAAAGGTTGGGGATCTCGGTCCACGTGTCTGTTTCTGGGTCGTATTTCTCGCCTGTGCTCGTAGAGCGAGACTTTTCGTGAAATCCTCCTGCGGGTACAATGCTCTGTGTTAGGTCTGCAGAACGAAAGGTGTTCCAGGTCCTTGCCGATAATTATTTCTCCCTTAACCGGTCAAGGAATTTCTAGCCTTCAACGGAACTACAATGTTCATTACCGTGTTCACAAAATCCCATCATTCGACCGTTCTCACGTAACGTATTTTTTCTAAAATCACTTTTAATATTATCCTCCTATTTGCGCGATCTCTTCCCTTAAGGATTTCAGATTAATATTTCGCATTTCTCGTATATTCCATGCGTGCTACACACTCAGCCCACCTCATCGCATTGTTTTATGCTCCGAAATATGAAATTCGGTCCTCGTAATGAATGAATGAACGAAACATAAAATGTCTGAAGCCACGTGAGTGAGAGACGAGACAAATTCGCTCCTTTTTGCAATGTTCATGTTTGCATCGGCAACAAATCAGGAATAAAGTGGCTT